CCATTCAGAGTGAGGTGGTCATAGGAAGGCTGCCTCTAGGACCTGGACCTCCAAGTCTCGTCTGCGGTTCCTCTTTCTCTTCTTACCTACTCCTGGGGTGCTTGGCTGTGCCCCTTCCTCCAAGAGGCAGAGGCTTTCTAAAAGCTGTCCTTACCCACACTGCGGTCGACCACACACAGATGCACCAGACACAGCAGAGTTCTGACGCTCACTAGGGAAGGGCAAGAGGCCACATGCTCCTTGGAGGGGCGGGGTCCGCTCTGTTGTTTCCCAGACCCATGTCACTTCTTTCATCGGGCTAGTCTGGCCGTCTCAGAGCACAGGTGCGAGCCCTTCCTCGGGGTTCCTGCTCACCCGGCAACCCTGGTACTTGCACATTCTCCTCTCCAGCCTCCCCTACATGTGCCTGTGACTACTGGCCTGAGGGTGGCCGACCTTTCCCCTCAGTGTGCACGGGAGTTGCCACTGTGCACTCTCCCCTGGTGTGGCCAGGGCTTCATCGCGAGCTGTCCTGGTGGCTGTGCAGTGAGTCTCAGACAGTTTACAGTTTGCTTTCCTATTTCTAATGCACTGAGTGCTACACTTTCAAGGAGGGCTCTCCTACCCTTGAGCTAACATGTAGAGCATTTCCATAATCTGAAGTGGTAACTCCTGATCTTTGGCAGGTATCCTGGGAACCCCAGGAGGAAACAGTTACCATGATCTGTTTTGATGTTTTGATGCAGGTCATGTGGCTGATCTAACCCATTATCATTGAGTACTTCCAGCTCCTTCAACAGTCAGGGACAGAGCACTAATTCCTGACAGCCAAGGCAAGTAACCTAGAACCCCTTATTCTGCCTTCCACTCAGCGGTGGCCTGTGACCTGCACTCCCACTCAGGACGGTGGCCTGTGACCGTGACCTGCACTCCCACTCAGGACGGTGGCCTGTGACCGTGACCTGCACTCCCACTCAGGACGGTGGCCTGTGACCTGCATTCCCACTCAGGACGGTGGCCTGTGACCGGCACTCCTTTCTTGTTTGCTTGCTCCAACTCCCTTGAGCCCTGGGTACCTTTCCCCTTTGAGGTCTCAGATCCTCTTGACTTAGCACCTTCCTCTTGAGAGCGCCCCTCAACTCTCCTTCATGCGTCACTGAGGACCCCGGTAGCGTTAGCGCCCACACAGCTGCCTGCACTCCCTTTCAGCTTTCTGGACACTAATTCTATGATTTTTGAAAATGTGACCTGTTTTCCATACTGTCCTTTCAACCTAGAATGATGGAATACTCCACAGCTGATTTTTTCTAGAACCACTTTCTCTTTCTTAATATTTTCCCACATTCTATCACAGAGAACTGCACTATTATCGTAATCTGCTTGGAGTCTGGGTCTCAGCGTGTGCTGTGGAGGTGTATGACTTCTCCTTTGACCCCGATGAATAACAAGAAATCAATACTGACATTAGCAGGTACTTCCTTCCGCTCTATGTTGACTGAGATTTTACTGAGACATACTCCATCTTTCCCTTAGATTTTATGATACAGTGTACCAGAGATTAGAATCTGTCTTTTTTTTTTAAAGATTTGTTTATTATGTACACAGTGTTCTGTTTGTATGTATGTCTGCACATCAGAAGAGGGCACCAGATCTCATTACGGATGGTTGTGAGCCACCATGTGGTTGCTGGGAATTGAACTCAGGACCTCTGGAAGAGCAGTCAGTGCTCTTAACCTCTGAGCCATCTCTCCAGCCCCTAGAATCTGTCTTAATTAAACCATTTGTAGACTTTAGAAATAAAGTTACAAGACAGGTCGTGGTGGCAAACACCTTTAGTCCTAGCACTGGGGAGCCAGAGGCAGGCGGATCTCCGAGTTCAAGGCCAGCCTGGGCTACAGAGAGAGTTCTAGGACACAGCAAGTTCAGTTACACAGAGAAACCCTGTCTCGAAAAACCAAAACAAAAAGAAAAAATAAAGTTACAGGGAATAAGTGATTTGGCTTGAAGTACTAACAGAAGATAACCGTTATGTAATACATCAGTCTGAAAATCAGATTCCACACTGCATTTAGTGTGGTTTCTAGGAAATTATTGGTCCAGACTTTATTTCACAAGAAGATTTTATCACCTTGTGAAGAGACATCTTTTTCTTTCAAGGTAGAGTCTATGTAGCCCTTTGGCCTGAAACTCACTATGTCGACCAGGCTGGCCTCAAACTCACAGAGATCCACCTGCTTCTGTTTCTCAAGGACTGAAATTAAAGGTTACCTCAGGCTGCTCAAGATTCATTTTTTTTTTTTTTTTTTTAAAAAAAAAAAAAAAACAGGGTTTGTCTGTGTAGCCCTAGCTGTCTTAGAACTCACTCTGTAGACCAGGCTTGTTTCAAACTTACAGAGATCCGCCTGCCTCTGGCTCTGGAGTGCTAGGATTAAAGGAGTGTGCCACCCCCTGCACCATCACCAACGCCGGGCTAAGACTCATCCTGCTGAAGTGACTCTTACTGTCCCGGTCACGTTCGCGTTCACTCTGCGGTCAACCCTGACCAAGTGCGGTCTGGTCATGGAGCGTGAAGGAACTAAATAAAAAGAGAGACGGCACTTGGGGTCTCTTTCCACTCACCACAGTCTAAAAACTGTTTCTAAGAGGCAGGCCTCATTAGCAGGCGGTGACAACCTGGTCTATGTGTCATGCCCCCTTTCTCATTCGGTCTGAAACCACACACTCTCTTCTCCTGGAAGGCCCGTTCTCTGTCAGCGTCAGACCTATCCCTCTCCAGAGAAAAGGCCGTAGTGACCCACCACTGTACTCAGCTTTCTTTGTACTCTTCCCAGGTAGTGAAATGACTTGGCCTCCAGAACTTTTATTCCTGTCTCTTTCTGAGGTGCTGGGTGCAGTTCACACCCTCACACCTAAACAACCAGGAGGGACCAACTCTGGTGCAGTTCACACCCTCACACCTAAACAACCAGGA